TTATTTAAAGCAGAGGTTCCCAACCGGCAGTTCACAACCTGGCAGTGGCCTGTGGCCTATCCAGGACCTACCGGGCCACGGACACAGATCTCCTACCCCCTGTGAGCGCCATCATGCAAATACGCATGTGTGTTCCACCCCGTTAGTGGACTGTGCGCATGAACGTGAGTGGCCTCCACTGAGTGTGACATGCGCATGCGCCCCACCCCTGTGGGTGCACTACACACCCCCAACTGGTCCACGGATGGGAAAAGATTGGGGGCCTCTGATTTAAAGGATCAAACGCCACTTCAGATTTGAAACAAAACACATTTCTTCTCACTATTCAGTGAGGAAAACTGAACAGATGGTATGTGTTCATGCCTGCCATCTGAGTGCACCTTCAAGGCTCCTGTCCTCATTTCCTGTATATGCGTTGTTGTTTTTAATCTTTAAACTGGACTAGAACTGGAAGGCAATTTTGAACAGAAAACGGTTCTCTGTGAAGTAAGATATGTGGACAATTTACCATTTTACTCCATTTTTATTGGACAAAACTATACAATTCCATTATTGGCATATAGAGTTGGTAATATTTCACTTATACATATAGTTTTCATATATTATAATATCTGTAATTCTGTAATTACAAATATACATTGCAATAACAACATACACTTGTATGGCATATAAAATTTTCATCATTCCTGTATCAGACTTCTAGAGATAGATCCTAAACCTCAGTTGCTTAATATAAAACAGTTTTTTCCCAATATGGGGATTGGGGATCACCAAAGGGATTACCAAGCTTTTTTTTGGAGGGTCCTGGGTTGCCTTATACATGTTGTAGCCCTTGTTAAATAGTTGCTCTTTGACCTTTCGGAGCGTGATGTTAAACTTAGCATGTAGTGTATGTATGAGAAACAGGCCCTTTCGGGAAGAAATCAGCCTCTAATTTCTGAGAAGAGATGACCTGGACCATATATCTATGACAGCAGATATATTTGCTGCCGCTTCTGTAAAAAGGTATTTTAACTATGATATGTTACTTTGGAAGAGCCTAGAGAAGTGAAGGAGGGGGGGAGAGAACCACACTCCAACAAATCCCTGGGAGAGGTGCAAGGAAAGCTTCATGCTGGTTCTGAGGGGGATCCTCTTTGCTCAAAAGTTTTGCCTGGGTACCGCAGTGTCCTTCTGCCCCTAGCTCACCTCTGAAGTCCTCTGCCTTCTCTTCTCCTTACCTTCAAACCCTCCCAACCTGTTTCCTCCCCGGTTTTGAAATAGTGACAGTGGGTTTGGCAGTAGGAGCGCAAGCAGCAGCTGTTTTGATGGTGCTGTTATGTTGAGGAATGACAATGGCCTTTTTATCCAAACGTGGCAGGGAGTTACAGGTTACCTGGCTATTATAAAAGGGGGTCACAACTCGAAAAAGATTGAGAACCACTGGTCTAAAGTAACCATGCAACTGTAAACTGCCTTCACCCCATCTCCACCCCATCCTCATTAAATTCAAACTGGCTCCAGGGGTTCAAGATGATACAGCCTCACAAAAACATACTTTCTTTAACAATCCATTGGATTTTAAATCTTTTTATTTCTGCTTATCAGAACAAACCTGAGGAAGAAAAATGTTCATTAAAAAAGCTTGCCGCACCAATTATTCTCAGTAAATTTGTAATTATAGTAGAACCCCCCATATCTGCAGGGGGTCAGTTCCAGGTTCCTCCGCAACTACTGAGAAGTGGGGATTATAAATAGCTGACACTATTGGACCCAGGACTCCCCTGTATCTGCAATTCTGATCTCAATGAGGCCTCTATGAGCAAGAACTGAGTTGAAATCTTCGCTCATTCCTGTGCTGAAGATTGAAGATGACCATCTTCGTCTCTCACACCCACAATCTCAATGGCTCTGTGGGATTTTTTCAAAGCCAATTGAGAATCGATTTCCTTGTTTGTCCAGGAGTGCCAAGGAAGGAGCTAGCTGGAGGCCTGGGAAGGGTGGGAGGTGGGAAACCTCTCCCAGAAGGCAGGTTGGCTTAGGTCAGTGCCCCTCCTCCTGCTTTTTCAGCTGATCTAGCTCTAAATTTTACCATGCTACTCTGGAAGGAAACTGCCTCAACCTGACAGGAGACAAGGTGATAAGGAGGTGGCTTACTAGTTTGGTTCTCTCTAATGGCCAATCTGATAATTACATCTAGAAAATCTGTATTTGAAGGTATTTTCATTTAATATTTTTAGCATTTTCAGACCGTGGCTGAATCAGCAGATATTGTTCCAGCAGATACAGGGGATCCTACTGTATTGTTTTAAATCATAATAAAGTGGCTCCCAGTCCTACCTATTTCCCTACAGTAAAATGTGTTTTTTCACAGACTTTAGCTAGAAAAGGATCAAGCTATGTACTAAATGCAACATTATGACTTCAATAAATTCACATCAAAAGGGTTAACAAATAATATGTCCCTGCCTGAGACACAACTTCATCTTCAGTAATTAGAAAGCACAACACAACAAATTATAAAGCAAGGGAATCAAATGGCAGGCAGATGTGTGTTTTTGGACTAAAACTCTCAGAACTCTCCAGGTAGTGTGTAAAAATGCAAACTGGCACACTTCTAATTGTTATTTTCAAGTTTATGAACTTGAACATCAACTAGGGCAAAATCCTTGTCAACAAATGTTTCAAGTCCCAGCTTCAAGGTTTTACTACAGCTTCCAGGCAAAAAGCTGGAAAGGGCTTAGTGAAGCTTTTGTAAACCCCACTGCAGGAACTAGACTGGGAAAAGTTTTATAAAAGCCCACTCTCTTTTGCATGTGTTTAGACTTCGGGGGTGGTGGCGGGGGGCTGAGGGAGGGAAGAAGTCTGAGGCACAAGTGGGAGAAATTAAAAAGCAGAACTGTTTAATTGATCACTGGAGATTAATATTGGGTTCTGAGTGTTAAGTGCAGTAGTGTAACATGGGTTGCCAGCACCCGAGGCAAGGCAACCCCCCCCATCTGCTCCTGCTGCAGCGCTGCCTTCCAAGCCTGCACAGACAGCGGGCCTGAAAGGGAAGCTGAGCAGGCATGATTTCCCCGATGACCCCGGAACCCCCCACCTCTTCCACGACCCACCCCACTTCTGCCACTGTGCTGCCTTCCAGGCCTGCACAGACAGCGGCCCCAGAAGGGAAGCCAAACATAGAGATAATTAAACAAAACAAAATTAAGCACCAACTAGACACTTTGGCTCTTACCCGCATCCTAAGTACTGTAATGGTATGTTAAATGCAACACTGTGCTGACATGACAGCACCTACACAAAGTACTGTACTTCTGTTCTCTCTCTTCCCCACTACAACTGATTCCGGACAGTCACAAAGACCCATAGATTGGGGGGTGGGGGTATTTCTGAGGGAGCTGCAGTAAGTAGGGGAGACTGCCCACCTCTGATTCTATTTACGGACGGTTCTGCCAGCAAGGTTACCCTCTTAGATGCTGGTCATAGCAGATACACACAAATCCAAACAGAATGCAAACCAGAGATGACCAACAAATTATTGTCAAATTATAACTTCTGCAAACCAGGATTGACGGGCTTTACTTTCCAGTATTTTGTCTCTAAATACTGCCTGCAGAATATTGTCTGTCACCGATCCTGAGTTCTTGGAATGAAGCAAAGTAATTATAGTATTGAATTGAACCATACTAACTATGCCATGTTGAAACATACGATAATGCTTTTTACTATCAATCCTTTTGGATGGAAACTTTTTCAGTCTGAATGTCAATTTAGCAGACCAACCTGCTGATATAGGAGCCTGATCTAGCTCTCTATAAATCTAAATAAGCTTGTGAGGGTGGGGATTGGATCAGATTATTATTTTTAAAATCAGTTTATGCCATATTTCCATGGCAGTAGATTGAAGTAAGGAATGATCTCGCTTCAGGTTGACTCTGTGATTGAAAAATGTGTCATTTAAAAATATCACTTTAGAACTGAAGAGGAATTTAACTTGGTTTGGGAACAAAAGCAATTTTAAATTGCTTCTAACAAACTATTAATGGAAAGTATATTATTCTTAATTTAAAATGAAAATGGTGTACAATATTAAACTTGTCGCTTCACATGAGGAGTTTAAAGTCACATTTACTCAAAACTAAGCATCTGTTAAAAGTTAAGAAACCCTGCTGCTATAACCCAATAGAGCTATTATGACAGTCTTTGGTGTATGCAACTGACTTTCCCAACAACTTTATTTTATTGTTTATCGCTCATAGATCTTTAACATCTGCATGTAAAATGGAAACTTTCTGTTTTGAACACAGTGAATTACAACATCATACATGTACCACAGCCACTATAAATGCATTCATACATAGTACCATCAAAATTTATTTATTTATTTTATTTGATTAGATTTATACCCCGTCCATCTAGACAGATAGTCTACTCTGGCCGACATGACTTCACATGCCCTTATGAACAAATGGATGGAGTGATTTGATAAGTCCAGATAAAATAATTAACAGCCAAAGGCAGAATAATACTGCAGAGACGCAGAATATTTTAGTGAAATAAAATAATCTGAATCCAGACAGAATTTATCATCCCTGAAAAACATACAATTCTATGGCTACTGACAGTATTTATTACATTGGTTAATCATGACTAGAGATGGGGGTATTCGTATACAAATTACCTTCTATTAATAGGTACAATACCTCTTTCAATACCCACAGCCACCTCTAGAGCACATGGATGCTTGGCAAGTCCTTTGTTTTGCTACCACTGACTGTTATAAAATGATTTCAATTTCAAACCCATTGGGAAGTTCCAGTTCCTGACTTATAACGAAAAGGACTATAATGCCAGCACTTGTATTGCACTGCACCGGCTGCATTTTCTTCCAACTACAATTTAAAACACAGTTTTCACCCTTTAGATCAAAGGAAGGCAACACCTGACCCATGAGCTGCATGCAGACCCCAAGCCAGCACTTCCGCAGCCCCCAGCCCGCTTTCCCCCCCGAAAAATACCTTTTTTGCTCAGAAAGTGTCTTTATTCTCTCTAGTTGACGTGGGGGTCACTTTGTCATGTGTGGAAGATCCCCCTCCCAGTACCTCCATAGTCTCCATAATATTAAAAAGAAAAAGAGACAGAAATAAATAAGTAAAAATAAAAGAATTGTGGCCACTAGTGAGCATGACAGCTATTCAGTTTACAAATTCTTTTCCCATTAACCCCATGTTTCAGTTGAAAAAAAAATCATTGTTGTAATCTTTGATGTATATAACCACTGCATTAACTTTAATTAAGAAATTAGATATGCACATTAGTCTCTTTATGATCATTCCTCTCTGCTTTAGACCTGTTTCTTGGGAGTGCAACTGTTGGCAAACCTTAAAAACTAATCCTCAGCTTTGCTAAAAGAGCTCCCCATTTAAATACTATCCAGTGTTTCCTCAAATGGGGACATCCAGATGTTTTTACTACAAGTCCTTTCAGCACTCACCAGTATGGCTCGTGGTTAACAATAGTGGGAACTTTAGTCCAAAACATTTGGAGTGGTTCATCTTGAAAAAAGCATCTGCAAAACATCAGTGGATTGTGACTCATCCATCTTACAGAACACCCTGATGTATGATTTTGGATAACTAATGAGGTCAGCTACAGATAGGATGGTCTTGATTTCCATATCAAATGAGCCGTGAATATGACTTCACAAGGTACCCAGGAACATACTGCAGGGTTTTGAATTTCTGGTAATCTTTTTTTCCTGCACAGTAGAGGTACAGAGAGCTACAGAAAAGAATAGCTATAAAGTTCCCCAGAGTCCACTCCTTCCTCATTAACTGGTGCTTAAAGTCTCATCAACTCATTCTGAAACATTTGTAGAAGAATAAATAAATTCTTTACTTACAATTGCTTGACATTACAGACTTATGGATGCTGTATTCTTTACTGCACACATATTTAGCAACCTCAAACAAACTACAGATAGCATGCAAGGTTGCAAATAAAAACTCTAACAGAGCAGGCAGAAAAGTTTAGCTAAGTTAGGCTGATACATGCATTTATAGATCTTTGCCATTTTTGCCCCTTAGCTTCTGTTCTTTTCTGTTGTTGTATGACATAAAAATGTAGAGGAGGAAAAAATGTTTTAAATTAATTAATTTACCATGCCCTCTGAAAAGCCTTTGTTTACTATTTTTTTAATTGGCAGCATTTGTTTAGACTCTTACTAAATATTGGATTATGGTAACTTAAGCCACAAAATAAAAACTCAGTGATAATTAAGTGGTAAATCTTATCATGCTTAATTTTACATCCTCAGAGACTGAAGGAAGCATAATCCCATCTCTGTTTATTATTTATAGGAAATGAGCAAGAACCAAAGCCCACTAATTTTCCTTACTACTATAGAGGAGCATAGAGAATTTCCTGTTTTCCATTTCTACTCTGTGCTCAAACATCTGCTATTGTCCAGAAACTATCCTATGATTTGTTTCTTTTGTTAGGTTTAAGGGCCTGTTAATTGGCCTACCTCATTCCAACAGTGAGTATGTGAGCATGTAGCTAGGGTGGCTTTGTTATATTAATTGATAACCATTGGTATGGGCAGAGGAAAAAACTTCCAATTGGCTGGCTCCAAGCAGGACAGAACAAGATGTTGCTGCTCAAACTATAAAGGAAAAGTATGAAACTATTGAACCAGCTACCGGAGAAGAGAACTCCACTTTGTAATTTTTGCCATTTAGAGCAAACTAAAGGATTCGGCTAAATATACTGTCAGCCTCAGAGCCATATATCTCAGTTGTCACTCCAAAATATTTATCCCATAAGTTGTTTCCTCTAGTCTAGGGCACTTTCTGACAGAAGGTGCCTCATACTAGCGATTTAAAGACAAAGTGCTGTTGTTCTTTTTGTGCTTAATGGATTTTTTTGTGATAGCAACAACAATGAAACAGGAAGAGGCTGAAGAACAAGGCATTACCTGAGAAGCCCCTTCCATTCATGAATGAGGCGGGTGGTGGTGCAATAAAACATTCAGCTGAAACCTCTCCTACCCACCATTGAGCTTTTAAGTTGTGATTTTTTTAAAATTAATGGCACACAGTGTAGCAGCAAACATTTGTATCCCCCCACATGGGAAGCTGCCTTTTATTCTGCTAATCTGTTGGCAAAATTTAATACAATACAGAATGACAAAAAATGGCTACCATTTAAATCCAATTAACTCTATATTTACGAAATTCTTTGTGTTAATATAAACAGGAATTAGCTCATTTCCTTTCTAGGACATCAGCATATTGTGATGAAACAGTAGAATCTCACACAGTGTTCTCCAGCAAATTTCTGGATGGCTTCTTTAGCAAAAAGCACATGTGAAATAAATGACTCCAGCGGTGCTGGGTGAAAAAGCAGCCCCCCCAAAAAGCAAAACAAAACATATCTGAACATCTATTGAGAAGAGCAAAGGCTTGACAACAAGAACCTGAAAGCAGGAACTGTAGTCACACTCTCTGCCAAGTTATCTTGAATCAAGCAATTCAGCTGAGGTTTTGTCTCTCTTCCCTTCCCCCACAAAACGCCTATACAAACCATTCTGCTGACCCAACTCATCCATTTCAGAGGAAGCCAGCAGGAGACAGTAAGCTCATCCTTTTCAAAAGCTTAACTCAGAAAAAGAGAGAAGATTTTTATTTGGGCGCAAGAGCATGCATGCTCACGCACTAAGGTATAATGGATAGAGTGACAGACTAGGACCTAGGAAACTTGAGTTCAAATCCCCAAATTGGCCGTGGAAATTAACTGAGGGCAGGGCAGAACTGATAAAATGCCTCCTTAAATATCTCATTTATCTCAAAAGCCCTATTATGGTTGCTATAGGTTGGTTCTGAACTTGATGGCACACATACTGTATGCATGCTTATTGGGATCAGTTCTGCTGAACACAGTATGACTTGCTTCTGAGTATGTATACACAAGGCTGGGCTATGTCCACCACTCCTCAAAACAGTTTTATCCAGTATTCATTAACATCCCCCAGATCTGTATTGTTTTATATGGGTTTTTTTAAATACAGGCTTTCAGTTTATAAGCCCACCAGGAGATCTGCAGCATTATATCAAGATATAAGGCTTTTCCTTAATGACTTGTGGTCTGAGATGGTTTTTAAATGGACTGTTGTGCTCTGTTAAAACTCTTGTTTATACTATTTTTAATATAATACTTGTTTAATTCTTTCTTAAACTTTTAAATATTTGTGTACTTACTGTTTTAGCTTTTAAATGTTGTCTTTTTAATTATGTAAGCTGTCTTGAGTCCTTTTTAAGGAGGAAGGCACAATATAAATAAATAAATAAGATGCTGGGCCTTTCTTGTTAGTCGGTCATTATGAAGTCATAAGCTTAGGGAAGTTTACTACACTTCATGTCAGAATTAGTTCTCAGCTAGCTTTTGTGAAAGCAACAGTTTTTTTCCTCTCCTTCTTAGTCCCAATTGCACCAGAGCTACCATTACAGAGCTATAATTCCATTATAAATTAATTACAAGCAAAAGCAAGTCTGTGCACACCACCATTATATATAGTTTTCGGAATCCAGAAAACCAACACACATGTGCACACACACAGAGTTTGTTGAAAATGTGTAGACTACAATGCATTTTTGACGGCTTTCATTCAGCATGAGAGGTCATATGTATAGGCCTGCTATAATTAAGAAGGTGAACAGTGTGAATCTCTAAGGTAAGTTAAAAGGAGCTTGACCATGGTGCTCAAGTTTACTGTAACAATTTCTACAGGTTTTTCACCCACCTAAGGAATTCAGGTTAGCCAGTCTGTTCCTTCACATTGCTAGACAGAAAGACAAGCATCATACCTGGCAGCGCCTGCTGTCAGGCAACCTGCAATACTTTACTGCCATGACCCATATCTGGATTTTCACTATATTCTTCATGTCAATGAAATTTCAAACCACATATCTTTCAAGAAATACATAGTGACTTGCATGTAAATTGACCTTGAACTAACTGATTTGAATAATAGCCCTCCTTGTTCCATATTCCAGACAGGCAAGACTTTTCAGCAACTCTACTATGAACAGCTATCACTCTTATGCAGTGGCATCCATCAGACACAGTGATTAAAACTACATCAAGACACTAGATTTAAAAAACATCCCAAATATGCATTAAAAAAGGTCTCCTGTAAGAGAAACCTGTCATAAAAGAGCAGTGCCTCTTGCATGATAAGAAGCCTTTACTCAATCTTAGAATTTGTTTTCGATAAATGGAAAGCAGTGCCAAGATGCTTATCTAGCAGTTGCAACAGTCTATTATCCAGTACCAATATTCTAGTTTGCTAACATCATCTGCTAAATTTCATTATCTGTTACAGACTCTCATCTTGATCCTAAGAGCCTGTGGCTAAGATTCTAAATACACTTACTACACGGAAACAAACGCCATCTAAATTAGTGGGACTAACCTTTATGGGACCGGTAGTAGAAACAGTTTTCCACAGGGAGGTCTCCTATGGAGTTCTTTATCTTCACATCAACATTTTTGATATTTAATCTCCTAAGTATCTGTGAGCAAATGAGAACAAATCTAGGCCAGGCTACCTCAGGGGAACAGTGGTCAGACAATAAATCTCTTTTTAAAAAATATATATAAACAGAATATCCATTCAGTCTCTGTCCTATAATGCTGTTACACAGTGAAGAAGTAGGACCATTTTCCTATAAATATATACAAGACAGGAGAAAAAGTAAACCTTTTCCTAATTAATGATAAAAAGCTCCAGTGGGGTGGGGTGGGGGGAGAAAACGAATATCTTTCTAAGAGGAAAAGGTAAGACTTCCTTCATCACAAGAACCCAGCTTCTTTACAGTCAACAGAGGATTCAAAAGGATAGTCCGGGCTACTATATTTTTAGACACCTAATGATCAACCACTTCCTTAAGGCACCAAAAGCTTTATTTATGTTGATGATCACACACTAGGTGTCAGCTGGACAGTTTTCAGATGGTCCATCATCTTTTTACAGGTTCATTAGAAGAACGTGGTGCCTCTTCTGATAGAAACCAACCCTGCAAAGACTCAGGTATCTGCCTTTCACCCGAGAAACAAACAGGTATCTTGGAAACTTAAGATTACCTGCACATCTGTCAAATTAGATCATTATTTTACCCCCCAAGTACCTAGGTGTTAGTTTGGATTATATACTGACCTGTAAAATACACTGCCAAAATACAAAGCAGAAAGGTCTGTGTAAAGAACAATATTCTTCAAAAGCTATTGGGAATTAACTGGGGAACACAATCATAAGCATTAAGAGCTACAGCCTTGGCTGTATGCTGCTCTACAAGTATGTTGGTCTGGCATGGAATAGTTCAGCCCACACAAAACAGGTAGACATAGCACTCAATGACAGCTGCAGAATCATTACTGGATGCCTGAAGCCAGCCCCTACTGATAAAATCAATTATCTAGCAGGCATTGCATCCTGTGACATATGGAGAAAGGTAGCAGCTAATAGTGAGAGACTCAAGGCATCTACATCAAATGCACATCCACTCTTTGGCTACCATTCCACCCCTTCCTGATTAAAATAAAGGGAAAGGGATTTTTTAAGAGAACATATGCTGTTCTACAGGTGAATATGTTGGTCAAGCACCTTATTTATTGTATTTATTCAAAATATTTCCCCCCACCTTTCTCCTTGAAAAGGACCCTAGGTGGCTTACACCATTGAGAGACAATATTTAAAGTTAAAAGACAATATATAAGAACAATAAGTATAAAGAGGAATCTTACATCATTAAAGGCAATAATTAAAGCTAGGAACAATCTGTATACAGACATTAGAAAGGGAAAAAATGTCACTCTGAGAAGTGGAAAACCCTAAAATGGAAAACCCAGTAACAATCCATCTAAAAATCACACACAGGTAGCTAGATTACTGAGGGAAGACTTGCCTGAAGATAAAGGTCTTTGACTGCTTGGGGAAGGACAGCAATGATGGGGCCAGTCTGGTCTCCTGTGGGAGGGACTTCCAGAGTCTGGGAGCTGCAAGAAAGATGGCTGTCTCTTGTGTCCCCACCAGATGCACCTGTGAGAGTGCTGGCTCCCATTATAAGCAAGCTCAGCTCGCTTATAATGGGAGCCAGCTCATAAAGGGAGATATGGCCTTTGAGATAGCTTGGCCCCAGGACATTTAGGGCTTTATAGGTTAAAACCAGCACTTTGAATCGTGCCCAGAAACTAATCAGCAGCCAGTGGAGCTGCTGTGACATGGGGGTTATGTGACATCTTTAACCCACCCCCAGTCAGCAATCTGGCCGCTGCAGTTTTTTGACACTTTCCATTGACAGCCTCACGTAGATTGTGTTACAGTGATCCAGCCCAGAACTAGCTAGGGTGTGTATGATAGTGGCCAAATCAGATTTCTCAAGAGAGGGACATAACTGGCACATTAGTTTTAATTGTGGAAATGCACTCTTGGCCACCACCAAGACCTGGGTATCCAGGCTCAGGAATGAATCCAGGAGCACCCCAAACTGGGCAATTTTTTTAAAGTGGGAGTGTAATCCCATCAAGTACCAGTTGCATCCCTGTTCCTTGATCTGCCTTTCAGCTGACCAGAAGCATCTCTGTCTTGTCTGGCTTAAGTTTCAGTTTATTCACCCTCATCCAGTTCATTACTGATATAAAATCTTGAAGTAATAGCAAGAATGCCAGGTTTATAACATGGAAATAATAATAACATGTCTGTGCTATTGACAGACTTTTTAAATAGAGTACTCAGAAGTGGTTTACCATTCCTTTCTTCAGAGGTCTTCCTGGAACTCAGCAGCTTGCCCACGTTTACACAGGCTGCCTCTTCTGGGAAATGAAGTGGGGAATTTAACTTCCAACCTCTGGGTTTGCAGCTCGATAGCAAACTAACTGAACCATTTAAACAGCTTACCCACTTCTTAAAACATATTGCATCACAGGAAAATCTAGCCCCTGGTCACTCAGAGAACTGGGAAGACACTTGATAGACTATGGGCTGGGCATTGCAGAACCAGGTGAACATAAGAAAATCAGGATTTTGCAGCAACACAATTGCCTGCAAGCACAGAGAAGAACAGGCAACATCTCACTTATGTCAAAATATGCTGTGCCCCTTAACACATGCTACAAATGATTCGGTGTCTGCTGATATTGCCTGTTACTGGGAGAAAATTATCTGATATACTTACTTGAAATTTACAATCTTATTTTTGTAAAGCAATTCGTTTTTTATATGCATTTTGCATGCATTTTACCAACCCAAAAATCTTATAGAAGCTATTGTACTCCATTAATTGTATTATGTTGCTTCCAACATTATGAATAAAAAAGACAGGAAACCAAGTCAGAATCTGGTAGGCAAGGCAGCTTCTGTTTGCAACCATGTTTCTAGTACAGTGGTGCCTCGACTTACGACAGTCCCGGCTTATGACCAATTCGAGTTACGACCAGCTCCGGCCGCAAAATTTTGCTTCAACTTGTGAAGCAAAGAGCTTTGAGTTATGATCAGGAAAAAGGTGGGGGGAAAAGGCAGGGAATTTAAATTGCTAACTATTTGTCGGCGAAGAGACTGCTTCTTTGTAGCTCTTTTGCCCCAATGGGTAGAGTGTGCGTTTGCAGAGAGGCTTTGGACTGCCTGGTGCTGCTTACTGCTTCTGAGTGAGTACATACAGTGGTGCCCCGCTAGACACTTATCTCGGTAAAGGATGAAATTGCTTGACAATGACTTTTTTGCGATCGCAAAACGATGGTTCCTATGGGGGAAATCCGCTTTACGTTGATTAGGTCCCTGCTTTGCGCAAAATGGCTTCCCTCCCTTCGCAAAATGGCTGTTTTCTGGACAGAAGCTTCAGAAGACAGCGATTTTAAACAGCTGATCGGCGGTTCTCTATGGGCGATCTTTGCTGGACAATGAGGTATTTCCCCATTGGAATGCATTAACCAGTTTTCAATGCATTCCAATGGGGATTTTTTTTTTTGCATGACGACAATTTCACTGTACAGTGATTTTCCTGGAACAGATTATCGTTGTCATGCCGGACACCACTGCACAGGGTTTTGCAGCATTGCTTTGGGCTGGGGAGGTTATGTTTCTGTGCTGTGATTTCTTTGGTGATTTTTTTTCAGCCCAAGCGCGTTCTGATGGGGCTTGCAGTGTTGTTTTGTCTTTTGGTGTGTGTGTTTTTCCCCGACCCCAGTGCGTACTGATGATGGGGCTTGCAGTGTTGTTTTTTGGTGTGGGGTGTGTTTTTTTTGGCCCAAACGTGTTCTGATGGGGCCTGCAATGTTTTTTTTTTTGTTTTTGCTTTTTTTGGGAGGGTGTTTTTTTCCACAGCTGGAATGGATTAATGGGGTTTCAATGCATTCCTATGGGACATGGTGCTTCGACATACAACCAATTCGAGTTACGACCATCTTCTCTTCTGAAATGGATTAAGTTCATAAGTCGAGGCACCACTATACAATGGTGCCTCAACTTACGAACGTCCTAACATACAACAATTTCGAGTTGCGACCAGCTCCGGCCACAAAATTTTGCTTTGACTTGTGGCCGGAGCTTCGAGTTGCGACCGGAAAAAGGCAGGGGAAAAAGGCGGGGAATTCAAATTTGCTAACCATTGGTAGGTGAAGAGGCTGCTTCTTTGTAGCTCTTTCACCCCAACAGTTAGAGTGAGTGCGTCGGAGGAGGCTTCGGACTGCCTGGAGCTGCTTTCTGCTCCTGAGTAAGTACAGTACATTTATTTTGTTTCGCACGGTGGGTTTCGGTTTGGGGGGGGGTTTATGTTTCTATCCTGTGATGTTTTTGTGTTTTGCTGTGGTTTTTCCCCAGCCCCATCACATTCTGATGGAGCTGGCTGTGTTTTTTTGGGTTTGGAAAAAAAATCAACCCCGACATGTTCCAACGGGACTTGCATTGGTTTTTGTTTGTTCCTTTATTTTTTGGTAATCCCCCCCCCACGGGCACAATGCGTTCCTATGGGGCTTGCACTGTTTTTGTGTATGTGTGTTTTGGTGTGTTTGTTTTTCAGCTCCAGCACATTCCTATGGGGCTTGCAGTGTTTTATTTTTATTTTATTTTATTGGATTTTTCCCCTTCTGGTACAGATTAATCACATTCCAAAGCATTCCTATGGGACATGGTGCTTCGATTTACGTCCATTTTGAGTTACGCACATCTTCTGGAATGGATTATGGTTGTAAGTCGAGGCAGCACTGTAGTTTCAAAACCAGTCTAGAATTATAGAGAGAAACCTCTACTGTGAGAAACAAAAGATGGAATAACTCCTTGCTCCTTCTTACTTCGTATTCCTTTGGAAAGTATAATTTGGCTTTTCTTTTCCCATCATGAGATCACTTATCTGCAGAAATGGGGAAGGAATCATGTGAGGTAAAAGCAGAATAAAAATAAAATACTGTCGTCTCTGTAGCCAAGATTCTCAGATACCCCTATATGTTTGGAGATTAGGTAGGGTATCTAGCACAAGCCATACTATACCTGATCTGGATCAGATA